TTTTTTTTTTTTTTCCAGCTGTCTTTAAGGTGCAGAGAGGGAAAATACAGACAACTCAATTCTGGTGTTGGACCATTGACAGCAGGAGCTCATTTCTCTTATCCCTCATATTTAGAAAATAACCTTCTGACAGTTTTTACACTTGTGTGGCTATAACGCATTCCATCTTAAATCCCTCTCTTAAGATGGTTAGCATGACCTCAGCATCTTGCTCCCTCTTTCCTCTGACTGCAGAATTCACCAGATGTGTCTTTCTTGTCTAGAGAGCTGCCAACTGGGTGCCTGGGTGGCTCAGATGGTTAAGCGTCTGCCTTCGGCTCAGGTCATGATCCCAGGGTCCTGGGATTGAGTCCTGCATCGGGCTCCCTGCTCCTTGGGAGCCTGCTTCTCCCTCTGCTTCTCTCTCTCTCTCTCTCTCTCCCTCCCTCATGAATAAATAAATAAAATATTTAAAAAAAAGAATTTTATAAAAAAAAATAGTCAGCTGCCAACCATGTTTCTTCAAGTTGGCTCCTAGTACATCTTCATAATAGGGTGAGCAAATCTTTCACAGTCTTTTCATTTATTCACCCAACCATCACCTGAACCAATCCCCTTTGCCAGAAAGATACACTACCATGTATTCTATGACAGCAGGAAATTCCAGTACCTCCTTCCCATCTATGTGTCTATAAACCCCTTTCATAGATAAAAGTTCTAATTTAGCCAGAGAGTTAAAAAGAGGAGGAAGCATATGGTGTATGCCACGCAGCTCTTGAAAAAAGACAATAATAAAGGTACTGATATTTTTAGAAAACTCTGGAGCCATCCCATTTCTGAAATTACTTACAGGATCTTCATGCTGCCATTAAATAAGCAGCTCATCTTTATCTGCTAATAAAAAATACCACAGCCTGTTGCCAGAGGACTGTGATCGTCTTAACAAGTTTTTATAGAAAATAACATACCGGGAGATAACAGGTATTGTGTTTTCTTTTGGCAAATATTAACACTTCACAGCTAGCATATCTTGCTTACTTAATTGGGCCTATAAAAGCTCGCCAGGCCATTTCACTTCCCGCCATTGAAATTCTCTCAACTTGTTCTTTACAGCTTTTCAGAGCCTCCATGGGAAAACAGCTACAGAACAGGCTGGCTGAAAAGATTCTTAAGGTCTCATGTCCATATTTACAAACCTTGCAATCTGTGTGTGTTCATTTATTTTAACACACATGAAGTGAATAAATCAGAGGCTCCTTTGGGAAAAAGAAAACCACTGAATCTGCGAGAAAAGGAACCAAATCTGTCCACTGAGGCAAGTCCTAAATGATCACAATAGAGTCCCCTGCAGCCCTGGCCACACACCCTTGCCTCCAGTGGAATGAAATGCTATTGCTAAGCTCATTGAGAAGCTAAGACCTTTCTATACTACAGAATTTCTCACATATATTATTGTCCTTTTTTTTCCGTTTTGCCTCAGATGTCTGTATTCCTGGCTAGACTGTGAGTTCCTCCAAGGTAGCGATAATACTGTATTCTTGGATTGACACCCACCTGGCCTACGTTAAAATTAGATCAGAGCCACAGAGAAAAGACAGGGAGAAGCAAGTGCTGTGGGAGCAAGTGAGAACCCAAGAGAGCAGTGGGAAAAGCCTTCAGCTCCGAGCCGCCGGACAGAGAACTGCCTACAGGATAAGCCTGGGAAAATCAGAAAGTCCGAGGCAGGCCAAAGAAAGAATTATTAGTCCCACTGACAACAATATATTTTTAAAAATATTCATAGATCTTAGTAATCTTTGCAGTGATTGCTTTACTAATTTTGGCTTTGGAGACTTCTGTGAGCCTACTTTTATTCTGTCTGGTCTCTTAAAAGTAGTTCTTAGGTAACTTATCTTCCTAATTTCCTTCTTGATAGTTTGGAAGCTTCCCAGTCTAGTGACTCCAGGGAATATCTGTAGGCCTCTACATCTGAAGTACTAGGCCTGGGAAGTTCTGAGTCCTGAAAGTGGTTTTTGATGATGCTGACCCATGTAATGATTTTGTTAGAGAAGTTGAACTACTTTGCTTATTACTGCGGTGATTGGAATCAATGTCCTATTTTTAGAATCGTGGGTCCGAAACCTTGATAACCACATGGAGAAGCACCTGGAAGCCCTCCCTTGGGCCCCATCCCTCTCTTTCATGGGCTGGTGATCCAATTTTAACAAGCACCCTCCGTGATGCCGAAGACCAGACTGATTAGGAACCACAGTCTCTATAAAAGCTGCCTTGTTAGGTCTGCCTGACGGGCAGGTATGAAATGTTAACTTTCTAAACTTGCTTTCCTAGGTCTATCCAAAAGTAGCAAGAGAACAGTGTAATTTCTCAGGCCTGCGCTGAGCAAAAAATACTAGTGTTTTTCCTTGGCTTGTGGAGAGGCGAGGAAAGGATGCTGAGATTCTCATCCCCGGTTTGGAGTATCTCAGGCGATCACGAAGAGCACTAGTCTTTTATGACAGCGCATTTTGCAAGCATCCCTTTGGGAAGCCTTAGTCCCCACTCGTCTGGGAAACGTAAAATCAGTCACTTTTGGCAACGCTTAGTATACTTGAGCATGGGAAACACAAATTAAAACAGAGATACTTCTTTACTCACTAGATTGTCTGGTTCCACATTTGCTTGGAATAAAGATAGAATCTTTAAGATAGAGAGGACCTGAGTATATGGGTTATCTATTTCAGGTTTGGTGAGGGTCAGGGAAAACTTTCAGTCTCATGAAGGTTAAGCATTTTCAGCCTTTCCCTTTGATGTAAGGAGATCACATAAAATAAAGTCAAAACAACCAGGACTGCTTAATCTAAAATTACTTGTCTTATTTTGCTCATAGGAGTTCATGGTGATGTTGAGATGGAGGACTTTTCAATGCCCTGCACATGGTGGTCTGTTTTGGTTATGGTGGAACCAGCTTCCCTTTATTTGATTGCTTGTTTGTTTGGTAGAGGGAGCAGAGCCTTATGTATACAGTCTCTCATCAAAGTTAATATGTTGATCTCAATTAAGTTTAAAATGAAGTGAATTGTTATCTAAATTGTTATTCTGTGGAAATCTTTCTCTTCCGTTACTGAGAGTCTAAGCAACCAGTTGCCCCATCATTATAAATGCCGTTCTGTTTAATCCTAACATCTGTAATAAAACCAACAAAAAGCTATTTGTTCTGATCTGCAGTTACAAAATGCCTATCTCTGGAAGAGGCCAGAGCCATTTGGCTGGAGACCGCCAATCCTTACTTCGCATTTCTGATTAAACTCTATTCTACCAGGAAGAATCTACCGAGCCGAGGAGTTTCAGGGGCTCTGCACGCCCATGGTGGGTACTGCAGCTGGCTTTCAAACACCAGCATAAAAGTGCGAGGTGCCACCCCTGCATGCCACAGCACCAAAGTGAGAAACAGAAGGCATCCACTTGGTTGCTGGACTCTACTCTCCCATCCCTGACGTCATGAGCATGAATATGAGTGTGAAAATCAGGGAAGGAAACTCTCCTTTAATAGATTTGTCCTTCACAAGAGCTGGTGTCTTTAGTGGCCACCAGGGATAAGAGAGTTCCTTAGGTGGTTCTCAAAGCAGCACTAAAAACGATAGTAGGAGGCAGTAACCATCAAAGACGGTGAGTGAGAGCTGCCCTCACTGCAAGGACATCATTATTACCACGGACAGCTCTGCTCCGATAATGTGAGTAACGAGAGCCAAGATTTACTGAACACCAACTCAGTGGCAGGCACCTATTCTAAGTATGTGACATGTACTTTAATGCAACTCTAAGTACTCTCCTCTGGTATTTTTGTGGATGCTCAAAAGTTAAGTGTATTTTGTTGGTACAGCCATGCCTACTTGAAAAAGACAAGAGAATGAATCATGCCATCCTGGAAAAGCCCACAGAATCTCTCTTCAGAGGTCACAGTGTTCTTTTCTGCTCGCAAATGTTGAAGGATTTGGCAAAGAGAACCCTCTAATACAAAAACTGTTCTTATCCCAAAATAAACTTCTCTTAGCATACTGGTAAGATTGGCAAAATGGGAATTATTCAGGTGTGATATACACACGACTGATATCTCTGAAGATGACCATTCTGAAATTTACTTCTAATATCCTTTCCCAAAGGAAACCCATGGCTTGTGTTGCATGGTCTGTTAATGCTTGCTCAGATTCTGAAACCCAAGCAATGGGAGGCAAGGATTAAGGCTCAGTAGATTCTGTGTCCTCTTTAAAATATCGACCATCTGCTCCACCCTAACACGTTGGTATACAAGTCCAACAGAGAGTAAATATGAAAGCAATTAAAATAAACTACTGTGCATTAGTGTGGTTTGATTTATGTAAACAACTTCTGTGGAACAAGATGGCTGTGGTTTGGGTAACATTCATATCCATGAAACTCAAGTAACCTAAATAGAACTTGGTATGTCTAGAACATTCTTAGTCATGTTCTTCTGCTAGAAACTATCTCAATTGAGATGAATTCAATGATTAGAATGAGGCCCGAGCTTACCCAGTGAAGGTCATAATCTAGCCTCGCTCTTCCCTCATCGTCCTCATATAAGGTGAATCCTTCCCTCCGGGCCTGATAATACTCTTTCCGCAACTTCTGGATGCGGTCCGTGCTCCCACTCGCAGGCCGGCCACTGCAGGACATAATCAAACAAACACAGTCACACAGTGTACATCATCCTGGAAAGTCACTTTTTGATCTTATTAAAGGAGCTGACATCTAAATGTGGAAGATTCAATAATGTAATTCAAATATGCTAGGAAAACCGTAAAATCAGTAATAAAAGTGAACAAAAAATGGTCTTTATGTAAATACATTTAGCTCTAAGGGCCAAAACATCTGACTTGGGATTAATAAATGTCTTTTGAGTGAAAAGGTAAGATAAGGTCCTGACCTTTAGAGCAATTAAAAGAGCCATCCCTTTTTTCTTACAATCATCTCCACCAAGTTTGGTTAAATTTTAATGCAGTTATTTCATTTTCTCCATTAAGAAGTTGCCAATTTGAGACCAGTTGTTTGACCTGAAGATGGGACGTGGCACCGAGTCGGCATGTGCCATTCTTCATGTCAGTGACACTGATGGATTTCTGGCATGGGGGGTTGCATACATGTCAGCATTCGGGCCCACAGGGCATGGGGAAAGTGAAGAAGGCGAAAGCCACATCAAGAAGTAAAAATAAAAATTAAAAAAAAAATGGGTGATAGTAGAATGTGCCATCTTCGTTACTTGTCCAAGATTCTCCTCTCTCTACTTTAGTCACTTTTTTCTCTCAGGAATTACAGTTTCTCCAGTGACTCATCCATGCAACCCCAAACTGGTCAGCCAGTGGCTCCCTTTTAGCTTGGATTTGTCATGAACGTTTCAACAGAACAGACATCATGGGATATAATTCAGGGCCAGGAAATAAGAGGAGAATGCTAGGTACATTTCAATAACCATTCAACTTCTTTGGTTCACCTGAGACATAACTGAGTGTCTTATGTTAAGATCTAGGAAAGTGAAGACAAACAGTTCATAGTCCTCGTCTGGAAAAGCACATGGTCTGGGAGGGAGGGGACCGAAAGGCATATAGAAGGCTACAATCCAGGTGCTACAACAGCAGTCTAATAAGGGACCATGGGGACAAAGACCGCTTAAACTGACAGGGGGAGAGCAGGGCCATGGAAGAAGATTACGGAAAGCTCCATGGAGGAGGTGACACATTAGCTGAGTCTTGAAAGATATACAGGTGCTCAACAGCTGGACAAGTGAGATGAGGGAATTTCAGGTAGAGGGAAGGACAATACAAAGGACAGCAATGAGAAAGCATCTCGCTTTGGGGGAACCAACACAAATAAGTCCATGTGGGCAAGCAGTGATCCTCAACTTCTGTCCTGGCTCACACACATCTCAGGCAACACATGTTCCCTTCCCTTTCTCATTTAGGGAGCAAGTTAGAATGCAAATAGTGCTGGTGATTTTAGGGATATTTTGAATTTACTCTAATGGGTGACAGAAGTAGATCACCTGCAAATTTGGGTACTTGCACTCAACTCAGAGCAACGGGCTAATCATACGGACACTTGTGTTTGATGGGTAGGCGAGGGTAGAGGGGAGGGGCCAGCGAAGGGGGACAGGCGAGGCTGAGAAGGGGAGGAAGGGACTCCCTGGGAAGAGCTGTGCTTGCCAAAAGGTCCCCCCATAGTACAGTGGAGTTTTGGTTTAAATGAGACTTCACATTAAAGGAGATATCTGAAAGCGGCAGAAAGAAGTCATCTACTCTTTGGTGTAAATTTTTGAAATTAGACTTGTAAACTCTAAAAAGAAAATGGTAAGTGAACATCTTTTGGAGGAAAAGCATTCTTCCTCAACTAGATTGTAAGTTAATTGGTGATGTCTTACAACATCGCTACAAAGTTAGCACAAGGCTCTGGGCTTCCTACACATTCTACAGACACTCAGCAGCCAATGCCTTTTATGAACAAAAGACGAACCCTCAGGGATCACATATCTTTATTTCCTCCAATATGATTTAAAAACTCTCAAGACAGTTCTGTTTCTTTTCTAGGCTTTTCTTAAAGTAAAAGTTTTTCAAGCAAAAAAGCAGAATCAGACCTATAAATACAAAGAACATCCCGGTGGTTGCCAGAGGAGAGGGAGTTGAGAGAGGGGCAAAATGGGTGAAGGGGACTGGGAGGTCGAGGCTTCCAGTTATAGAATGAAGAAGTCATGGGGATGAAAGGCCCAGCAGAGGGAACATAGTCGACGGCACTGGAATAGCATTGCATGGTGACAGATGGGAGCCACATTTGTGGCGAGCACGGCACAACATAGAGTTGTTCAATCACTATGTTGTACCCCCTGAAACTAAGGTAACATCTATACTCAAAAAAAAAAAAAAGAAGTTTTTGAGCATTTGAAAAAGACAACAATAAGAAAAATAATGGAAGGCCTGATATGCTTCTCTGAACCATGGGATGGCAGGCAGGGCAGCCCAGCTGCCTGTGGACCAGCTTCCCTTCCTCTTGAGTACCGTGAGCTGCCTATGGTGCCTGTATGTAGTGCTTAGGCTTCTGCTGATGACGTGAATGTGTGAGCCAGGGTCAAGCTCACCAGATGAGTTCAATCAACACTGTGCAAACATTGCATACATAATCTATTAGTTTACCCAAAGAAACTGAAGCACTGAATTCAAGCGGAATGAAGTCATCAGTAATAAAGGAAAAAAAAAAACCCGATAAGGCACTGTTCTAAAACTCCCCACAACTTTCCTACATTTGTGGTGAAAAAAAAAATCATACTCAGACTATAAACTATTCTTCCATATGCCTACAAATACATACATTTAAAAATATGGGTTTGATCAGATTTTAGTTCTCAAATAGAGGGAATGGCAAGAATACAAAATCAGCTGTTTAGGATTCAGAAAAATCCCCTATGGCTGAAAGGAACGGGACTATTTACTCAGAAAAGAAATCTGGCCTCAGAGAAAAAAAACAGGAAAAAAGTCTAGAAAGTCATGGACCATCTAAGTGCAAAACATGCTGTATCTTCTCCCTTGTGTGAATATTTTATTTTATTTTATTATTTTTTTTAAAGATTTTATTTATTTATTTGAGACAGAGAGAATGAGAGAGAGAGAAAGCACATGAGAGGGGGGAGGGTCAGAGGGAGAAGCAGACTCCCCGCTGAGCGGGGAGCCCGATGCGGGACTCGATCCCGGGACTCCAGGATCATGACCTGAGCCGAAGGCAGTCGCCCAACCAACTGAGCCACCCAGGTGCCCCCTTGTGTGGATATTTTAAAGAAGACGTGGGACATGGTGCAAACTTTCCGTAAGGACCTGGGACTGCATCTCACTCTTATCTCTTTTTTTTTCTCTCCAGCCCTCATCCTGTCCTTAGTAACTATATCAGATTTTCCCCTTAATTATATTAAGTGTTGAATAATGAGCAAATTCTGATTTCATTTTTCAGCTCTTCTCTGCACATAATACTCACACACTTACCAGGAAGTCAATAAAAATGATATGCACAGCTATTGTGACCGAAGCAGTTAATTGATCCCATTTTGTATTGAAGATGTAAGAAATTTGAAGAGGAACATAAAAACACCTTTGCCATAACAACAGCAATAATTATAATAGCTCTTATTTACGGAGCACTTATATGACAAACATATTGATACAGGCGGTTACTCCCTCCACTTCCTGCCCAAAGCAGACCTAAGTAATCGATTACAGCATTCTTTCCTGATGAACCTAGACATGGCCTCAGAATCCTTCTCAACCCAGAACTTCAGAAAGCCACTACCAATCTGCCAAAAGACTCCTTAGAAGCTTCAGAAGTTTCATCAGATTATGATGTCACTCAAATAGCCTTGCAAGCATATAAAATCAAAGTATCAATAACCCTAAATTCCTACTTTGAAAATTAGGCTTTCTGTATTATTTGTTCACTGGATGAAGTAAAGGTTGGCCATTCTTACAAAAATTCCTATTCCACCTGTATTCATATGTAGATGGTCAGCGCCCCTCCTACTCTTTCAATGTGCTGAAATTTTATGTAAAATTAATTCAAAAAGTATAAAAAACAGATTTATATTGTAGTGACTTCTTGTAAATGATACTGCTTATGCCTTTAAAGGTAGATGTATAGTTAAATGGGCTCTTCTTATTACACTTCCGAGCTGGACAGAGTTTAAAGGAGTTCAGAAACCATATCCTTTTCGTCATAGTAATATATTCCCATATGCAGTAAACCTATAGTAATACATTTCCATATGCAATAAACATCGCAGTAAGGCATTATCTGCTACTTTGAAATCTAACCTTATTCTTCCTATTCTTTATATTCTTCTAGTTTACAGTGACCTCAATTGAAGTACATTTTATTTATTTATTTTTAAAGATTTGATTAATTTGAGAGAGAGAACAAGTGATGGGGAGGGGGAGAGAGAGAGAGAGAGAGAGAGAGAAGCAGATTCCCCACTGAGCAGAGAGTCTGATGCAGGGCTTGATCCCAGGATCCCAAGATCATGACCTGAGCTGAAGGCAAACGCTTAACTGACTGAGCCACCCAAGTGCCCCTCAACTGAAGTACATTTTAAAATGAGTGTTTGTTTGTGTATGCCATGGTCTCCTCCCATTACTACTGCAGGCTGGAGAAAAGAAACTAACATGTATTAAGCTCCCATGGTGCCCTAAGTTAGTATTTATGCTTTACATAGTTCATCTCATTCAATCCTCAATCAAATTTGTGAAGATAACACAGTGACATTTCGCAGATGCCGGCACTGAGGCTCAAAGAAGTTAAGTAGCACAGTCGGTGAATGGTGGACCAGGGGTTGTGTGACTTCAGGACCAGTGTGATTTCTACCATATCACGTTGCCTTGCAAGAAAGGCATTAAAATGCAGCAGGCATTTTGTAGCAGAAGTTCACAGGCATTTCAAGGCAGAGGGAATTTAGCAGAACACATTTATAGCCATACCTTTTGATATTCTTTTATTTGCACAGAACTTTGCAACAAAAATAGAAATCAAAGTAGCTAAAGTAATAGAAATACATGCAGTGAAGTCTGTATTCGTTAAAGAATGATGTTGGAACAATTGCAGACTGAGATTTCTGGGTAATTAATATTACATCTCTAACAG